CTCTTGCAAATCAATCCCATTAATAGAGTATTTGGTTGGAATGATATTATTTTTTCGTGTAAATTTCATAAGCGAACATTTTTTTACATTGAGATCCATTCCATTAATGTCACACCATTTCTTAAGGGAATCGAGGTCCTCTTGGAGCATAACCGCGTCATCCAATGAGTCAACAACTTTTGAAAGTTTGAGGTCATCAGCGAATAAGTATGGGATAGAGTAGCGAATGCAGGATGGCAAATCATTGACAAACATGTTGAACAAAACAGGGCCCAAGTGCGATCCCTGTGGGACACCGGACGTAATATAATGAGTGCTAGACGTGAAACCATTGACAACTACGTAAAATTGTCGTCGTACCATTGTCAACTACGTAAAAACAACTATTTAGTTTTATACACACATAAATGATCTCATATTAATCACATTTACCAAATCATGTGGTAATCTAAATATATAAAAGGAGAAACTGACTGACTGACTGACTGACAGATCAACGCACAGCCTAAACGGCTAAACGTAGGCACTTGAAATTTGGAAGGGACGTAGCTTAAGTACCTACCGTAGAGGTGCACTAAGAAAGGAATTCCCGAAATTCCCACGGGAACGGGAATTAGCGGGAAAAACGGGATTCACGCGTACTAAGTCGCGGGCGGCCGCTAGTTATTCATAATAACCGGCAATTATTCATAATTTTCACATTTATCACTTTGACCGTAACATATACATGTAATATGTACCAGTTATAGTTAGTTAAGGAAATAAATAAAATTTTATACGACTGTAGATTATAGCGCTTTGCTAATTTACGAGCAAAATTCGTAGTTGCTAATAACATACATTATAAAAATCATCATAAATTAAACACATAATATTATTATTATCCTTGGAACGGATACATAATTTTATGTATTTAATTTTTTATTGTATATTCATTCAATACACTGTTTCATACATTATAAATAATGTAGTTGCTAAGTCAAAAGTCAAAATTTTATTTAGCCACAATAGCAAGATAATATAGCTTGGTGGTTTATATAGTACGTTTTTAGATATACTACATACATTTATTATAAAAACACTCAGACGAATTTATACATAGGTAGGTACGTAGCGCTCATTCAGCAAAATGTTTTTGTAACGGGAATTGAACCCGCGACCTCTGGCATAATCTCCTTAGTACTAAGCCTAAAGCCTAAATAACTTTAGTCATCTACGAATGATCACTAAATATCTGCTTCCTGATTAATCAGCCTTAATCCGGTTACTTTCGATCACTAATCACAATCATGGACTCACTAATCACAATCATGACTACTTTCTAGCTTCCGATTTTGTCTAAAGAAATTGGGTGGGCAATTAATTATTTCCTGTGTAAGGAATTGGAGACCACCTTTGTGTTTGGATTCATGTCAAAAACACTTTTGTTTTTTGACGTCACCCCTATAACATCATGTTAATAAGTATTTGAGCTATTAATAAAATATTTTACGATTAGCTTTGGCCCGCGGCTTCGCCCGCATTAATTTTGGTCTGTCACATAGAGAAATAAGCATCGGGATTTCAGGAATAATGCAGCTCTCTTCTAGTGAAAGAATTTTTAAAATCAGTTAAGTAGTAGACGATGGCCGTTGGGGCAGACAAGTTCTCGAGTGGTTACCACGGGCTGGAAGACGTAGCGTGGGCAGGCCTCCTACTAGGTGGACCGACGATCTGGTGAAGGTCGCGGGAAGAGCCTGGATGAGGGCAGCGCAGGACTGTTCATTGTGGAAAACCTTGGAGGAGGCCTTTTTCCAGCAGTGGACGTCATTTGGCTGAAACGAACGAAGTAGTTTCAGAGAGAGGAGCCTCACGCAAACTCACAAACTTTACCGTTCTAAAATATCAATATGTTAAGATTGGCACTACACGTTAACTCGTACCTACTACCAAATCTACCCAGAATTCCATCCTTCTCTCTCATTTGTAAATAGAAAGAGACAAAAAGACCCACATCACAATGATAACTTACCGAGTACAAGGGCAAGGGTGCGCCGGTTACCGGTCCAGGTATTGTTTACCTTTTTTGCCGGTTGCAAGATACCTGATATAGACAGCTGATGGTATCCTATCTTTGATAAAAGATTTACCACAAGATCTGAGGCAAAGTTAGAGTTGATACAAACACATTTTAGTTAGATATTTCATAAAAGCAGAGTCAACCAGATAAGTTCAATTTTTGACAAGATTTCGCGACAGACGACAGCTGAAAGTTAACAAAAGCTTGTGAAAACACATTTTTTTAACACGCTTTTATTAGGTCGATTTGTAACGAAGGAACTAACATTAACTTATACCACCCCTATTTTGCGGAGGGTGGAATACCTATAAAATAGAATTATTTTCAACAAAATTTCTAAAATACACTAGATTCCCATGCGGAAAATTTAAGCGAGACAACCCTCTTTTCACGTTTGCCAAAACCATCGCTTACCACCGTAGAAAGATGATAGTTCTGTTGGCAACCAACAGATGGAGCTGTGCTACTTTGAATCGCGATGTCATTTGTTTTTTTGCCCTATTTAGGTTAGTGCAATAAAAATATTAGGTACAATATTTTAGGAAATAATGTCTAATAAACTTACGAAACTATGACAGATATACTTTCTTTCGTCTTATGTTTTGATGTCATTTAATAATATTCTTCCATCGCTGTAAGTAGGGTAATCCAATATGGCAATCAGCGTCTGAACGAGTGCGCTGACCGCTTATTGCTAGCCGTTTCTTTATTATGCTTATAATATAATATTATTACCTCATTAGATAAGTTTTATGGCCATTAATTTATAATAAATGTGCTTTTACTTACAGCATCGTCTGGGCTCATGGAATTGAAAAAAATACCTAACAAGTAGGAGAATTGAAAACCAATGAAATTAGAACGCTAAGCTTGTGAGTGTCAGTGATAGTAAATTGATAAAATAGTTAAATTAAGTTAAATCAAATGTTAATCTCGTCCCATGGTTAACTTAAGAAACTTTCAGAAATGAAAACAAAGCTTTGAAATATCGAAAAACTAACATTACTCTACTACTTTTTAACCATACTCGTAAATATAGCTTATTTTTAAAAACTTGAAAAAGAAATCGATTACCTCAGTGGGTGGGAATTGAATCCGCGACCTTTCGCTTGCCGGGCGACTGCTCTGACCTTAAATTTTTTGACCTTTTGATTTATTTCAAGTTTTCAAAAATTTATAAAATTTTAATGGATAAATAAATAAATAAATTTTAATAATTACCTATACTATTTATAGAGGTGTTTTTCATGTTAAGGTAGATAATTATCATTACACTAGTGTACCTTGGATTTAATTTTGACTAGGAGTTCAACTATTAACCTAAAATATTACCTAGTTAGGTAGATACCTACTTACTCGTACTCTTTGTATTGTTAGGATTTTCTTTCCTCTGTGAGTGAGCTTTTATTTAAGTAGCTTTTTGGTTTAAATATGAAAATTAATTGTTTTGTTCAAGTATAAAAGTGTTCTTCTACGTTATCCATTAATAACGTAGCTAGTATGTAGGTAGCACTTACGTAACAATGTTATGAGAATATTCAGTACAATACAGAATTTATGTCCCATATATTATTATTATTCATCAATTAAAATTAAGTGTGACACATCTTCCTTAAACCCTGAATATGTCAAACTGTATAGTAAGTATGACGTCAGAAGCATTGCCAGTAAAGTGCGTGGATTGCGGCAAGTTTAAATTATTAACATAGTAAAATACAGTCAATAGCATATCAGATCATACATTTTAGTTGAATAATAGCCTATATTTCTACTCAAATAAGATAACACAGTGTTTAGGTTGATGTGCTTTCTTCCGTACGGCTGATAACCTTCGACACACGCTTGACAGATTTGAAGACCGAATTATTGATATCTGAACACGTGCACCATGACGTATATTTACTGCCCTCATAATAATATAGACTTTTGTACTATGTACTATATCCTTTTGCATCTTAGATGGTATATTATCATTTGCACTCAAAGAGTGAGATCAAAAACATAACCCTCCTTCTAGCGCAGTCGGGTAAATAGAAGATTATTTATCAAAAAACGCTTTTTGTTGTGCTAAGGAGTACTACGAGAATGTTATTTAATCTAAAAGCTGTGAATTTTGTAACAAAAATCAAATAAAATAAAACTTGCTCAGCTAAAGGATAAATGGCTATGAATTCTGGAAATGAATTCCTTTTAGCAATATTGCGTGATTTGGCCTTTTTATTTGGAGTTATTGACTTTTACAACAACATCGTGAATGTACTAAAATATTAAAAAAAACAGCCGATAATTAAATTATTGTTTATTTAATTTGTATAACAATGTTCATAACAATAATTATGATATTCTGACACTGATAAGTCGGTTACTACGAGTACAACTGACGAAATACGCACTTCATTGATAACATAATTGATATGAAATATGAATGCAATATACGTATTATTCTTCTCTAGGATACTCCAATATTGTGACAAGGAAACAATATTAATTGGACCTTATTTATTGCAAGTACTGCATACATTGTAATGATACAAACAGGTCCTAACCCTAGACCAGATTGTCATTTTGCCTTGATTATTAAGCGATATTATGACTACCAAACAAGATATTGTCGTCAAATAATTTGAAAATAATTTATAATAATATTAAATTAAAATTATATATTTTAAAAGATTCAGAATTCAGGTTTAAACTACGTCTATATTTAGTAGTGTCAATAGGCTAGCCTACTAATGTCTTTCCTGTTTTGTGTGAATTTAAAAGGCGTCTGATGTAGACCATTCTTCGAGAAAATACTATGACAACTTATTTTAAATTAAATCAGCGGCTTATCTCGGCCTATTGAACAAAATTCGCCACACGTTTAATATCGCCTCCAAAACCGCGGTATTATCAACACTATATTGGTCACACGCACCAGCGCACGCGATCCGTCCATACTCCGTCACTATATTTAGTACATTTCGTGAGTACGCGCGAAACGCACGCGCTTCTTTACTCGACCACTACAACTGCATTTTACAAAATATTTCAATGAAAACACGTTCATTGACATCGTAAACACCCCACTGGGTGGTGTGCCAACGAATTCTGGACCAAATTGTGTAGTAAATTATACCAGTGATTAATAATTTTAAGTTAAACACAGTGATATTAGAATAAATATGAAGAAAGAAAGCGCGTCGGACTACGAAAAGAATCGTGATGAGGACGAGGTGTTTTTTGAAGATGCATTCGAGTTGGCCGGTGAGTAATGTTTTGAAATCAAACACTGATGTTTTGAATGCATATTGCGTCATTTTTTAAATGTATGCGTGTCGCACATTTTAAAAAAAGATTTCAGTTTACAATAGATAATCCAATATCGTTAATCATTCTGCTGCTGAATATTTGCTCTAACATTTAACTTTCTTTAAATGTTAGAGCAAATAGCTCTAACATTTAACTTTCTTTTCCCAATTTCTTTTATTTGATGAGATTAACATTTTTTTATTTTCAAAATGCTCTTCTTGTTTCATTTATAGTTAACAAAACTATTTATAGTTATAAATCGTAAACATTTTACCGACAAAATTATACGTTAAGAGGATGCATTTATGCGTCTCTTTATTGAGATCTTACAATAAGTACATGTTTTTTTTATATTTTACCCTACCCCAGTGGTACGGGCTAACTTTTGGAATTTTATGTGACTAAATGGAAGTTATAGATTATTATCAGTATGATGTTACAGTTTGTTTGTTGTGGTAATAAAAATGAGGCTATTGCAACATTGATCGCGGTAATCTTCTATGATATTTTTGTTATCGTAATAAAATTCACTTTGGCAGTCATAAATCAGGAATTACTTCGTAGATTATTATGTAAGATTATATCATTATTTATAAAGAAGAACGGTCATCTGTGACCCAGACCCGACAGAAACGAGACATACCTCAGTTTTTTTGTCATGTCTTAATTAGTTAAATTATATATTTTTTATATTCGAAATCTATGTATAACACCAAATTATTGCCCTTTGTTTTTGTTCAGGCGTCATACAAAAACTAATACAAAATGCCTATTTATCACCAAAATTGGTAAATGTATGTACCTGAATAGCTGCTATGGAATGTATCTAGGTGATTTGGAGATACAGNAATAATAAACTAACCTGGAAGTATAGAATCCATATGTTTTATACCAAATATCAACTAAATAAAAGTTAAACGTTGTTGTTAAACAAGAGCCTAAAATTATAATAAATTACTCAACAAGAAAAACTGTTTAAATCAAATGTTGTGGGTATCTGGATAAAAAGTGTTAAACTTTTTAAATATCATTTATAGATGGCTCCATATGTCTTGTTCCTATATTAGGTTACTAATTTAGAATCGGAGTAACTTTGCTTTTTTTAATTTTGGCCACAAATTACGTACATTTCACCTGTGTGCGTCGTTCAATAAAGAAAATCTAGTTGTGCATACATAATAGGTATACACAGCACCTAAAACGAATAGTAAAATCGCCAGACCTGCTTTACATAACAATTCAACATGATCTATATATATAAAAATGAAACCCGTTTCGCGTTGTCACGGCATCACGTGTGAACGGCTGAACCGATTTCGATAATTCTTTTTTTAAATGTTTGTGGAAGTCCAAGGATGGTTCTTACGGAAAAAAATATTAAGAAAATCTGTACGCTAAGGCGGTACGAAGTTCGCCGGGTCAGCTAGTTATTCATATAACTGATAACTCATAAATAAGTAATAAGTACCAAAATTCATAGTACCTATCTATCCGAATATTTTACGAGTAAGCTGGTTATAATTTATTATGTATTTTAAAGTTTTAAGTATAAAATTGTCACAATAATAGCTATTTGAATAATCGAAGAATCAATGATCTATTACTTATAAACTATTTTTTTCGTGGATATAAAACCACCACCGATAGCAAGTTTTAAAATAGCATTATCCTTGAATTAATGTTTTATAATAATAGATTACAGTTTCTCGATAATATCATACCTACACTACACGTGTATAGGCTCTGACATTTAAAAACATTAACGAAATAAAATAGAGATTTGCGATCCGATTTATGTGTAGNATATGTAAAATTAACTAAATTTAGCACATTTCATTTAAATTATTCTTGATCACAATCTCATCACACAATCACGATCCCAAGCTATTCAAACATTTCGAACTCGATTCGACTGAACTTCAATATTTTACAGTCATCTTCACATAGACTTGCATTTAAAAAGATTGGTAGTGGTTTTTAGAAAACTAGCCTATTGTATGTTAATTAACTAACTAACTAACTTAATACAAAATGTGGATAATTCGTCAGAACATTGTTAAGTGCAAATTTGTACAGATGTAGTCAATCAGGGGGAACACCACTGTGCACCGTGTATTTGAGACGCACGTGCACTTTCTAAAACCGATCAGCGGGAGTCATAGTCGCAGACGCAATCGGTCATATAATTGCATTCACCGAATGATTTAAATAGAGAAGTCGTTGGTGGCCACAAAATAATGAAGGTGTAGGTACTTATAGACTACTAGCTGTTGCCTGCGGCTTTACCCGCGTAAAATTTAGTTTGTCACAGATCGTCTTAAATTATAGCCTATATGTTAATCTGGGTTATAAACAATAAAACTGTAAAGTTTCATCAAAATCCGTTCAGTAGTTTTTGCCTGAAAGAGTAACAAACATGTTGACATCCAGACATCCATACAAACTTTCGCAATTATAATATTAGTAGGATAGTACACCTCCTATAGAAGTTGAATCTATATCTACTTGTGACCTAAGATTCCCAACTCTCGTTCCCACCGCTGCAACTCCTGTGTAGCCAGGATCTACAGATTGACCGCTAATAAAAACTCAACCAGTGAAGTCAAGCTTGTCCCGGGGGAAAGTTTAAAACTGTCATTGAACCCGCAACAACATTAATCAGAAGAACATAGGAGGAGTTCGAAATTCGAAGATAAGGTTAGAGTTTCCTCCATTGCCGGCCGTTTGGTGTAGTGGTTCAGAACGGACTACTATGCCGAGAGGTCCCGGGTTCGATTCCCGGTCGGGCAGAAATTGAAATGATGAATTTTAATTTCTGTGACGGGTCTGGGTGTTTTCTATGTATAATATGTATGTATTTACAAAAAAAAAGTATTTAAGTATGTTTATCATATATGTTATATATGTCATATATGTTATATATGTTATATTAAGTATATTTAACATCTAGTACCCATAGTACAAGCTTTGCTTAGTTTGGGACTAGAGGCGCAGTGTAAAATGTCCAAGGATATTTATTTATTTATTTATTTAGTTATCGTTTCTATCCTGTATACTTATTAATAGGCTGTTTGTTTTCCATCAAAATCAAATTAAAATAAGTTGTTTGTATGGGAATAGGCCTGCTTTAGGCGACACGTGTAAGTAAGTACTCGAAGGTTCTGTTTTTCAAACTCATAAGTCAACATTTCATACATAAATCTATAATCGACGTTTTTATTAGGCAGTTTAAGGAATAATGAATGTATAATTCTGTCCGGTTCCCTATTAATGAGCATGTTATGGTATCGAAGGTAGGTGTACTGATAACAACTGTCTACAGTATTTTTGCGCACGGGTTATGCATAGCTTATTTTTATTGCTTTAATACCTAGAAATAAGAATAACAACAAAAAATTGTTCTGAATTTGCTTTTATGTGTAAAAAATAGAAAAATTCATATCTATGAATGTATGAAACATGAACATAGAGATGATTCAATTTGTTGCCAAATATTTTTCTTTCTTTCTTTCTTTCATTCTTTCTTATTATTAAAACATACTAAACAATCATTTAAGATTCATTCTCACAAGAGAAGTTTTAAAATAGAGTCCAAATATATTTATTAAAAATGAAAAGTTCTACTTCCCTGTCATGTTCCATAGAAGATTTTTCTCATAAAAACCTAACCCTATCATGCTTTCAGGATACTGGCCTTGGTAACGTCGTCTCTCAAATCCCACTATATTTTCACGGAAGCGTGCCCCCTGTTCTTGCGAATAAGCCCCCATAATTATCTATAAATGTATCCCAATGAGAATGTGACGTGCATCTTTAGAGACATCCTACTATGAAGATGGAAAATTCAAATCGCTATAACTTCTTCAAAAGCAAATATTTTCGATTTGTAATCGCACTTTTTTATATAAATTAGGTTATATAATCAGAATATAATAAGTAAAATCCATGCGCAAAAAAAAAATTTTTTTTTGTTGACCGGTGTAATTTTTGAAATGCCTAGAATTTTTGTCCGCGGCTTTGATCGCGTGATTTTTGGTATGACTCAGAAAGAGGTTATCGTGCGCAAAACCAATACAAAAGATTAAGGTTGTTTTTCCCTGGGTACCAATCGTACAACTAGTGGCCGCCTGCGACTTCGTACATGTGGATCCCGCTTTACCCCTTTAGGGGTGGAGTTTCGTAAAATCCGTTCTTAGTGAGCACCTACGTTCTAAAATGCAAAACGTTCCATGAAAAATTTGAGACTCATAGCAATTGTAGTATCTGAGATTTTGTGATGAGTGAGTCAGTCAATCAGTGACCTTTCGCTTTTATAGATATAGATATTTGTACGGAAATACTATAGATATATGTATAGTAATTACCGTGATTAGTATAGATATCGAGAGCTGGATCGGTGGATGCGTACTGTTCGCCAGCTGTGGTGGCAGATTCGACCCCTTGGGCTATAAATGCGTGATGAATTTTAATAATTACATTGTATTGCTTTATTTGATGATTGCTATTACGACTGGATAACAATCCAGTCGTAATAGGTTCATATTAATTTCAAGTTATAAACAAAAATGTTGAAAAAAAAAAAATTATACCTGGGTGTGATAAAATCTATATTTTCTTTTAATCACAAAATAAATTAAAATCATGTCGCAATAAAATAACAAATGCAAATATTAATGAATATTTAAATTGACTTGTTGGCGTTATTTATTGATGAAAATCAGTCGGACTTTGTACCTAAGCAACTGCCTAGCTACTCAGGATAATATCAATCTAGCTTATTCTATGAATAGAAAAACAATTTACTTGCAAATTTAATTTTATCTAAATTATTGCAAAAAGTAGTAAATGATAAAACAGTGATCAAAAACGAGGTTTTACTTCATCATCATCATTTCAGCCACAGGACGTCCACAGCTGAACATAGGCCTCCCCCAATGATTTCCACAATGGCCGGTTGGTGGTGGCCTACATCCAGCGCCTTCCCGCTAGATTTTACTTTACGACAAGTTGAATTGTATCTTATGTAAGTTTTAATTACTTAGTGCTGTTTTTATATATAAATAAAAATCCCATCNAATTTTAACTAAATTATTGCAAAAAGTAGTAGATGATAAAACAGTGATCAAAAACGAGGTTTTACTTTCATCATCATCATCATCATCATTTCAGTCACAGGACGTCCACTGCTGAACATAGGCCTCCCCCAATAATTTCCACAATGGCTGGTTGGTGGCAGCCTGCATCCAGCGCCTTCCCGCTATATTTTACATTACGACAAGTTGAATTATATCTTATACATGTAAGTTAATTACTTTTTAATAAATAAATAAATAAATAAATCTTTGGACAATTTCACACAGGTTTTAAACATCGATAAAAATAATATGTAATCCACTTATCCACCTACTGAGCAAATTTTGTACTTCAGACAATCTTCATTATCTAAATTACTTATACGGTTTCAGAACATACCAAAAACATTGCCTCTTACATAAACAATACGCCTATGCATTATACCATACTAACTATTCCTTCTGACTGACTGCCGATGGGGCAGCAAGGTTCTAGAATGGAGACCACGTACCGGAAAGCGCAGCGTAGGACGACCACCCACAAAGTGGACCGACGACATCCTATAGGTGGCAGAAAGGCGCTGGATGCAGGCTGCCACCAACCGGCCATTGTGTAAATCATTGGGGGAGGCCTATGTTCAGCAGTGGACGTCCTATGGCTAAAATGATTATGATGATGAATGAACTATTCCTTCGTAAACCTTCGTCAACATTTCTTCTTCTTGCACTAAGGTACTCCAAGACCTTAATATAGTAGGACGTACGGCTATAAACGCCTGTAGTAGTAGAAACTAGAACTAGATACTTATAAATGCCTTTCTTTATAAGAAACCTGAATCGCATACAAGCGAATTCTCTGAAATTAATGAATACCTAACCTAATCATGCATTGAGTTAGTATCAATAAAAGCGTGTTGGTAATTTTTTTCGTTGTTATTATTCGTATCAGCTGTTATTGCATAAAAAGTTTTAAATTGAGGTTAATAATTGATAAATACCTAACACAGTGACAAAATTACTGATTCAAAAGTCGATAAAATGCTGACAATATATGTAAAGTCATGATCTTACGTTAGTAACTTATTTATTACTCTGTGATAAATATTATAGGTACGTAAATGCGAAATTTTGTACGGATGTCTGGATGTTTGTTACTCTTTCACGCAAAAAATACTGAACGGATTTTGATGAAACATAACAGTATTATTGTTTATAACCCAGAATAACATTATAGGCTATAATTTTGACTTTCTGTGACAAAATAAATTTCACGCGGTTGAAGCCGCGGGCAAAAGCTAGTTTTTTAATAATTCGGTGACAAGTTAAGTTGTTGATTATTGTTATTTAGTATTGATTTTATTTTCCCAGACTGATGATGAAGTCCTATATTTTTCAGAGTAGGTTTATCTCTGGCGTTCTTTATAGCCTACGTTATATTAGATAATATGGATTTCTACATAGTGTCACTATTTAACATATATGTACCTAGATTCAAGCATGTGATTGGCTGAATTGGATATATTCGAATATTTGGGTTAGTTACAAGTGTAAATAGATAACAAACTTGTTTTATAAATAATCATAAGTAGGTAGGTAACATACGAAGTGATAAATCAAAATGTATCCTCAACATTATTTCTTCAGAACATATTTTACGATTCGCATCTGAATAATTTATTATATCATCTTTCCTACTAATTATTATAAATGCGAAAGTTTGGATGTCTGGATGTCTGGATGTTTGTTACTCTTTCACGCAAAAACTAATTTCACGTGGATGTAGCCGCGAGCAATAACTAGTATTATTGAATGATCAAACGAACTTACCAAGTGAAGTTCGATCTAAATTATCCTGTTTTCGCCGAAGAGATTTATTTTACCATGTAGTACCCCTGTACGACAAGCCAATCCGCACACAATATTCAGCGCAGTAGTAGTAAAAAACAAAAGAGCGGGCAACCCCACCCCCACCACGCTGTGGGCTCGGTGTCCGAGCGGTCTCATTATATTTAGAGAAGAGATGAAATTGACGTTTACCTCCAGGGAAGAAGATATAGAAATCTTCGGGTTGGGAGGGACCTTAAATCTCTTCGGCGAAAACAGGATAATTTAGATCGAACTTCACTTGGTAAGTTCGTTTGATCATTTCTATTCTATTCTATTCTATTCTATTCTATTCTATTCTATTCTATTCTATTCTATTCTATTCTATCTGTGACAAACTAAATTTCACGCGGGTGAAGCCGCGGGCAAAAACTAGTTTTTAATAATTCGATGACAAGTTAAGTTGTTGATTATTGTTATAACTTTGTTTCATAAGTATTGTTTTAATTTTCCCACTGATGATGAAGGCCAATATTTTTATAGAGTAGATAATATGTATTTCTATATTCTACACTATTTAACATAATATTATGTAGATTCAGGCATGTGATTGGCTAAATTGGAATTGTCGAATATATGGGTTAGTTACAAGAGTAAATAGATAACAAACTTGTTTTATAAATAATCATAAGTAGGTAGGTAACATACGAAGTGATAAATCAAAATGTATCCTCAACATTATTTCTTCAGAACATATTTTACGATTCGCATCTGAATAATTTATTATATCATCTTTCCTACTAATTATTATAAATGCGAAAGTTTGGATGTCTGGATGTCTGGATGTTTGTTACTCTTTCACGCAAAAACTAAATTTCACGCGGGTGTAGCCGCGAGCAANAATTTATTATATCATCTTTCCTACTAATTATTATAAATGCGAAAGTTTGGATGTCTGGATGTCTGGATGTTTGTTACTCTTTCACGCAAAAACTAAATTTCACGCGGGTGTAGCCGCGAGCAATAACTAGTATTATTATTATAATCTTTTAAAACGCGTTTGCCTTTCATCTCAATGTAGCTAGTTGCTATCGTGAAAGTTGTTTATAATCTTGTCTGCATCATTGAAAACAAATGACTATCGTAAAGATCATTGCAATTGCATTACACGAAATTGTTTGGGCGGTAATTGTAAATTGACACGCGGACCACTCGTAAAGTAAGCGTATGATGTCAGATTGCGTAATCCGATCGGTGTGTAAACATGAAGCTATCTCAATAATCGTTAAGCCAATTAGGTGTTTACTGGGTCAGTGACTTCGTACTGTTGGTGACAAAAGTAGAGCTAATAATATAAATATTGCATGTTACAGTCAAAATTCATAATAAGTCAAAAATTAGTCAAAATTGGTTTTGATCAAGGGCGTTAGACATCATAGTACATAAAGCTAAGTACGTACTATGTGATCTAATTGAGACTTATTATTGCACACCATACAAAATTAACAAATAAAATAAATGGAGAATCGAATCAGCACACTTTGGACGGTCTAACGATTGGAAGCCATCTCTTTCAAACAAAATTAAAGTAGAAGACATTCTATGTAATTATTTTAATCATCATTATAAAAATATAATAAATTCTACATAATTTGCTACTTTGCAAGATTTCTCGAACTCTGTTTAATTTGGCGTCTACTTTTGCTAGTTCGAATCTTTAATTTACTATGAATACCTACTTACCTACAATGTATTTTTGTTCACTGTACTTTTACTGAAGTTTTGGCGACAGTAATGTTCACTTTATAAAATCAACTGCATAAGTGCTTACGTACTTTGCTACTGACTGTGTGACTGTGAGTCTATTTATGTACTTATTTATTTGTTGCCCGATTACGTGACCAAAGTGTTTAATGTTTAAGCTTCAAGCCGACTAAATAAAGCCAATTACTCACTGGGTCATCGACTCCGCCGCTAAACTTGTTAATTTATACATATATTGTTTGATGAGTGTGGGGTCACTTTCTTATTAGCGGGCTTGGAGAGAAAAGAGAGCACTTTGGTTTGGGACTCAGCTTATGCAACGTTTAGTTAAAATATCTCTATTCGGGAATTTCTGAGTCTAGGTAATTACTATATTTTATGGGACAAGCAGAGAAGTAACATTATGTAATAGTTCCCAATTACATATACTTGAATCAAAAATTTACCAAAAAGTGACGTCTTTAGAGGCTCATAAAGTCTAAAACCAGGGTAAATGTTCACTTCAACAAAAGGAGGAGGTTCTCAATTCGGTGGATATGTTTTTTTTCTTTCTAAACAAAGACTATTTTGCCCTGCTTGTATTTCCAATAAATTTTCACGTCTTTCTATGATTTTTAATTTTTCCAACAGTAATTACACCAACTCTACAAATATGCCACAAAGCATTCTGCAATTCATCACAGTCATGGATGATTATGATGATGAGTTCAAAAATAATAATATTTATAATATTCTACCTCTTTCTATCGCACACTTGTACGATTATGATGATCTGCTAAAAAATAATAACAATATTCTACCTCTTTCTATCGCACACTTGTACACACATTTTTGTCATTGTTACACAATTTTGTCGATTCTTTATTTTTACGAATGTAGAGCGACGACCTTATTGCAATATAGGAGTAATGAAATACATTATCGATTTAATAAAGGCGTGTTGGGAAAGGTCTATGATATCTACACTAATAGGTATAGAGGAAAGATTTGATTGTTAGTTTGTTTGTATTGAATAGGCTTCGAAACTACTGGACTGATTTGAAAAAATCTTTCACCATAACAATCCTATATTATTTCTGATGACGGTACGAGGTTCGCCGGGTCAGCTAGTTCAGAAATAAATCTTACTATCAGCATAGAAGTTCTTAAGTAGATCTAGAGTCTGTCTCAATAAAGAATGTCTACATCTCACCTGATGAAATGTAATGATCAGAACGAAGGTGGAAGGTGTGCTTAACACTTTTTAAAGTATTTTTTCTTGTTCCAGGCCATGGCCGTTTCAACTACTTGGTGCTGTTCACCAGCGGGTTGATACTCCTCAACGTGTCCATGGAGTCGGTCGGCATGAGCTACGTGGTCACCGCAGCAGAGTGCGACCTTCAGCTCTCCAGCCAAGATAAGGGGCTGGTGACAGCAGCTGCTTTCATTGGTATGTGTCTGGACTAGCAGGCTTCTGTCATCATCATTTCATCTAACGCAGTACACCAGCCGCGGGGGAAGCTAGTGGGTTATGTGGGGTTCTCCTTGCCAGAAGGGTAGGGCCTACCACTTGGTCAGCCATGTGAGTCGGGAACTGTGAGTCACTATTGGCGTTTTGGTTCAAGCATTCATCCGCATTCGCTCCTAACCCTGATTTAGGGTGGATTCGACCAAACAAGAGTAAATATTAATCTCTGAATAAGTCGTCAGTTTTGACATAATTTTCCATACTGAAACTGTCAATGTGCCAGTTATACCAGGAGTTATTCTCGGATAAAAGTTTGGTCGAATCAGGCCGTAAAAGGCTTAACCCTTAACCTCCTCCTCCTGTTTATCTTCTGATTCATTTCTTTGCGGGTTCCATTTTCCAATGACAGTTTAACTTTCTCGTGGAACAAACTTGGCCTTCACTGGTTAAGTTTTTGTACATTCAAATTCGTAAACATTCATCGTCGAGAGAACAAAAACACATGCATAGTAATCGTATTATTTGTGTATGTATTTAAATTAGCTAAAGTAACAGTTGTTACAATATTACGTCACTTAAATTCAATTGCAGAACTAGGTGTTAATGTTACCATTACATTAAAAGATATTTTCAATGGATGACGTTTATATTATACTTCAATTTATTATTCTGTCTGAATTAATTAATCATATACCAGACAGGCCTTGTTATTGCTGCCCCATTCCTGATCAAGGAAAAACCGTTATCTAAAAGGCACTTGAAGATTAATTTGACAAGTTAGCTGGGTATACATTAAACTGGTTCCTATGTACTGTAGCCAACTCGATGCAATAAAGATTTATGACTATGACTAGGACCATTAAGCTTAATACCAAAGCATTTAAACTGGTTGAAGCCTAGTCTTTGCCTACGCCTACATAACACTAGATAATATTTTGTCTAACTTTACGAAGCCGTAGTATTATTCTTAGCCTTAATGGTAGATACATTTGCGTACATTTGGTAATCTTTCAAGATTACTGATGTTTATGGTTTTACCTTTAATTGTGACTATTTTACTAGGCCATTTCCTCACCATCACAAGGTTGAGTGGCTAGATTAGATACATTGTGATGCAAGGATTACACATTTATGCCATTTATCTAAGTATCTGTACTTATATTACAATATGTTTTACATTTTGAAGATAATAATGTATTTGCTTGTTTGCCATTAATCCGATCTTTCATTCGTACCATTGCACAATCCTGTGGAGCCTGTCTATGAAGGTAGTTCTGGAAAATTTTACAAAGTCTTTGAACTTGATAATTATGAAGAATTTCGCTGCATATGTTCCGATATGTACTGCGAGCATTGCTCACAACTCCACACCCACCAGTGAGAGCACTAAGCAGTCATCGCAGTGCTATATCGGAACATACCAACTCTATATCATCGACTTTTTCGTTGTTCCTATGGGGCTATCTGGGCGAACAGTCGGGCCGTTTTCCCTGAATAACTTCATAAGGTCAAATGTTCGAGTCCCACTAATAACAGTCGTCTTTTTCTAATTGAAAATGTTCTTCCATCATCTTCTGCTCATCTTCTCCAGGTATAATCTGCACATTCTTCTCTTGGGCTATTTTGGCGATCGACTGGGGTGCCGCTCCTTGAAATACTTCACAATGTCAAGGGTTCGAGCCCCACTAGTAGCATTCCTCTTTTTCAAATGAAAATGTTATTATCATCTTTTGCTCATCCTCTCCAAGTATAATCTGCACGTATTTCCCCTGGGGCTACCTGGGCGACCGTCTGGGGCAACGCTCCGTGATACTGCCCTTCTTTCCTGACTAACCTCACAAGGTTAAGAGTTCGAGTCCCACTACTGTTAGTCATCTTATCCAAATGACAGTGTTCCAATCCGTCTGCCAAGTGTGGAGATTATGGCAAAACCCTCCATCCACTAAAGTGGAGGAGGCTCTTAGTCCAGCAGTGGGCTGTAAATGGCTGTTGGTGATGATGACGAGTTCAGTGTTCTTAAATCATCTTCTGCTCATCCTCTCCAGGTATAATCTGCACCTCATTCCTCTGGGGCTACCTGGGCGACCGGCTGCGTCGTTGTTCCGTGATGCTGCCCTTATTCCCTGACTAACATATTTTATAAATAAATAAAATTGTTACGCTCCCATTTTATGCATTGAGCATACTCATTTTCTTTCATCAGAATTGTGGTAAATTGAAAACCGATGATCAAAACAAATTTATACCCTTCCAGTTTTTAATTTACTTTTAAATTATAAGTAAATACTTGTACTTTGTTAAATAAAAACGGTTGTCATAATTAAAGGCACTAATTAAAAATTATACATAGGAAACTGATTCCTAAATTACAAGAACAACGGAAATTGTGTCTTTTTGTTTTTTTATGATAAAAATGTTGTAATACATATTTTCAGCTCAGAGCATTTCTTAAACCTAATTAGCATACGTAAATAATCAATATTAAATATTAAATTCCACCTAAAAACATGTTGAATGAAAATTTTATCACTTTGTATATTGGGGTGTGTTATACCCCACCTGGTACGGGACGTAACTTTTAGTCACCTCGTACACGGAGGGTTAATCATATACCAGACAGGCCTTGTTATTGCTGCCCCATTCCTGATCAAGGAAAAAGCGTTATCTAAAAGGCACTTGAAGATTAATTTGACAAGTTAGCTGGGTATACATTAAACTGGTTCCTATGTACTGTAGCCAACTCGATGCAATAAAGATTTATGACTATGACTAGGACCATTAAAGCTTAATACCAAAGCATTTAAACTGGTTGAAGCCTAGTCTTTGCCTACGCCTACATAACACTAGATAATATTTTGTCTAACTTTACGAAGCTGTAGTATTATTCTTAGCCTTAATGTAAGGTACATTTTGCGTACATCTGGTAATCTTGCAAGATTACTGATGATTATGGTTTTATCTTTAATTGTGACTATTTTACTAGGCCATTGACTCACCATCACAAGGTTGAGTGGCTAGATTAGATATACATTGTGATGCAAGGATTACACATTTATGCCATTTATCTATCTGTACTTACCAACATTAATATTGTCTTACATTTCGAAGATAATGTTTTTGTTTGCGACTAATCCGAACATTCCTACCACTGCAAAGTAATTCTAGGGATGATTAAGTCTCGAAACCTCAATCAACTCGATAATACTGACCTTCACGACAAAAAGGTTGTGGTCCGAGGTTTTCAAAAGAAATATTGTCATCGTCTCTTCTGCTCATCTTCTCCAGGCATAATCTGCACATCCTTCTCTTGGGCTATCTGGGCGATCGACTGGGGTGCCGCTCGTTGATATACTTCACAAGGTCAAGGGTTCGAGCCCCACTTGTGGCAGTCGACTTTTTCAAATGAAAGTTTTCTTGAATCATCTTCTGCTCATCCTCTCCAGGCATCATCTGCACGTTATTCCTCTGGGGCTACCTGGGCGACAGACTGGGGTGCCACTCCTTGAAATATTTCACAAGGTTAAGGGTTCGATTCCCACATGTGGCAGTTGTTTTATTCAAATAAAATGTTCTTAAATCATCTTCTCCAGGTATAATCTGCACATTCTTCTCTTGGGCTATCTTGGCGATCGACTGGGGTGCCGCTCCTTGAAATACTTCACAATGTCAAGGGTTCGAGCCCCACTAGTAGCATTCCTCTTTTTCGAATGAAAATGTTATTATCATCTTTTGCTCATCCTCTCCAAGTATAATCTGCACGTATTTCCCCTGGGGCTACCTGGGCGACCGTCTGGGGCAACGCTCCGTGATACTGCCCTTCTTTCCTGACTAACCTCACAAGGTTAAGAGTTCGAGTCCCACTACTGTTAGTCATCTTATCCAAATGATAGTGTTCCAATCCGTCTGCCAAGCCTGGAGATTATGGCAAAACCCTCCATCCACTAAAGTGGAGGAGGCTCTTAGTCCAGCAGTGGGCTGTAAATGGCTGTTGATGATGATGACGAGTGTTCTTAAATCATCTTCTGCTCATCCTCTCCAGGTATAATCTGCACCTCATTCCTCTGGGGCTACCTGGGCGACCGGCTGCGTCGTTGTTCCGTGATGCTGCCCTTATTCCCTGACTAACTTCATAAGATTAAGAGTTCGAGTCCCACTAGTGGCAGTCGTCTTTTACAGATGAATTTTTTTTTCTATCATCTTCTCTAGGAATAATTTGCTATTTCGCGCGTCTTTCTTCTGGGGCTATGGGCGACTGACTGGAGTGCCACTCCATGATTGTTCCCTGAAACAATTCACAAGATCATGGGTTCGAGCCCTACTTCTGGCAGTTGTCTTATTTAAATAAAATGTTCTTAAATCATCTTCTGCTCATCCTCTCCAGGTATAATTTGCACCTCATTCCTCTGGGGCTACCTGGGCGACCGTCTGGGGCGCCGCTCCGTGATGCTGCCAGCCATGGTGGCGTCCGCCATATTCTCCGTGGCCTCCTCTTTCTCTACCAACGTCTGGATGCTGTTGGTGCTGAGGATATTGACGGGATGCTTGTGAGTTTTAAATCTTTGAAACTGTTTGATAAATATAAGATTTTAAACTTTTGCGTTCCATTTTGCCAGTCTGCTTGTGACCACGGCTGCAGCATAGCAGCCAAAACGTCAAGCCGTGAGTACATAAATAAATCATTAACAAATATCGCGTTAAGACCCGTGTCTTTCTATTGATAACTTTGAAAAATGTTACAAAAAATATTAAGCGGATTTATGCAGGCAGTTGTTATAGGTAGACCACATTTGGATCTAGGCTTTGATTAGGCACCTTCCTGAGGTAAAAAGATGGAATAACAGTGGAGTTTCATGACATGTCGTCTTAAGTCCATTTGCCTTGGGAACTTTCAAAGAAAAACGTCAATGGTGCGTTTGCAAGACCGCACATAACTAACTGTTGATGATTAACATTTACTCGTATAATACAACTTTTACAACGCACTTGTCATACAATTTACCGTGTGTGGTCCAGCAAAGAGATGACTAATATTCAGCTCAAAACATCTTATTTAGAAGAGCCCTTTTATGTATTTTACCAACTAGGTGGACCAACGATCTGGTAAAGGTCGCGGGAAGAACCTGGATGCGGGCAGCGCAGNTAAAGTGTAGGAGGCTCTTAGTCCAGCAGTGGGCTGTAAATGGCTGTTGGTGATGATTACGAGTTCAGTGTTCATAAATCATCTTCTGCTCATCCTCTCCAGGTATAATCCGCACCTCATTCCTCTGGGGCTACCTGGGCGACCGGCTGCGTCGTTGTTCCGTGATGCTGCCCTTATTCCCTGAATAACTTCATAAGATTAAGAGTTCGAGTCCCACTAGTGGCAGTCGTCTTTTACAGATGAATTTTTTTTTCTATCATCTTCTCTAGGAATAATTTGCTATTTCGCACGTCTTTCTTCTGGGGCTATGGGCGACTGACTGGAGTGCCACTCCATGATTGTTCCCTGAAACAATTCACAAGGTCATGGGTTCGAGCCTTACTTCTGGCGGTTGTCTTATTTAAATAAAATGTTCTTAAATCATCTTCTGCTCATCCTCTCCAGGTATAATCTGCACCTCATTCCTCTGGGGCTACCTGGGCGACCGGCTGGGCCGGCGCTCCGTGATGCTGCCAGCCATGGTAGCGTCCGCCATATTCTCCGTGGCCTCCTCCTTCTCAACCAACGTCTGGATGCTGCTGGTGCTAAGGATATTGACGGGATGCTTGTGAGTTTCATTAAGATTCTCTTTTGATTTGATAATTTCGAAACTGGGGCAAAAATGTTCAATATTTCAATGCACAAAAAGGTGACTTTAGGTACTCTAATTTCGATAACTTCAAGAGAAAAAGGGCTTCAATACTGGTGTATTGAAAGTCGATTTGAATCGAACTTCTCAACTTAATAGTTTGATTTTGTGGATTCCGCCATGGATCTTGGACACTGTTGTAAAATCCATATTTGAGTCAGTGATATTAGGTGTTTATGTAATGTGTATAAGTTTTTATGTCTTTTTTCCAGAGTGTCAGCGTCCAGCGCCACAGTATACGCGTACTTGGGCGAGATGCACATGAACACCCGTCGGGCGTCGGCCATCGCGTGGGGCTCCGTCTTCATATCTTTCTCCTTCATCACGCTGCCAGGTAATACAATAAATAGCAGACCATATTCTGGTCATCAGAAAGTTAGTAGTGCCGTTATCCATAAAAAGTATACCTACCATAGTTGCTGTAAATCTAAATACATATAACTCAAAGGTGACCGACTGACTGACATAGATCTATCAACGCACAGCCCAAACCACTGGACGGATCGGGCTGAAATTTTGCATGCAGGTAGATGTTATGACGTAGGCATCCGCTTAGAAAGGTTTAATGAAACTCCACCCCTAAGGGGTTAAAACGGGATACGGGAACGGACGAAGTCGCGGGCTGCCTATAGTAATCAATCAATTTTTTTTTCAGATATTTCCGAAATTTTACCTAAAAACTGCTAAAATAAAGATCTTAAAAAAGAAATTTTTTTTCGCGCATGATTTTAACCGATTTTTTTATTTGATACTATTAACGAATAAACTTTTATTTAAATAAAATAAATTTCAGATCCAGATAATTATTGAATAACTAGCCACGAGCCGCTAAAGTTCAACAAAAGTACAAACCACGATAAAAAAATAAAGTTCGAATTTGATTTAAAAAAAAGCTAATGGTGATAATGGATTGCCAATGATCTTCGGAAAAATCTAAAAAAGTATAAAAATTGACATATCTCCTAAACTATAAAACTTTAGTCATAGAAAGTAGGGTTCAATAATTAGCAAATGACCTCCTCTATACGCGTATTAGCTATGGCGGGTTCAGTTCCAGTCATCCTGTATAATGTATTATAAGGTAGGTCTTGGTTGATACTACGTCAATTGACCTAGTAGGTAGGTACTTTTTACGAGGTGGAAAAACATGACTCTCCCATAGTTAATTAAAGCTATGACGTCTGAACATTATAAGTAGACTTTTTTTTTAATTTTAAGAAGTAAAAATTTAATATTAAAGCAGATTGAAAACTAGGTCGGTTTTTAGGGCTAGGATGAAAGTTAAAAATAAATTGTGTAATTGTAAATTTACTAGTTTGTGACAACTACCCTATTGTATGCAAATTGGAATTTAAACGTTTCCAAATTACGTCTCGTAACATTTTTATCATATTGGTTATTAACTGAGAACGCAATGTCATAACCTTGATTCCTTGCATTGAAGTTCTTCCCTTCGGCCTTAATATTGAACTTGAAGACAAGGAAACAAACAGACAAACATTGCATATTTCTCACATAAACCTCGGTACTATTAACCTTAGCAATGGCCGATTAGCAGGTCAATAAGAAAGATACGGATATGCAACAGTACTAAATAACTATTAATTAATAATAATTATGTTATCCATTCAAATGAAAACAAAGATAGAGAGTTAGTTCACGGCTGTAAATTATTATCAATATTGCAATTGCATCAAATGACTTTAGATACAAAACGTGACCCCAATTTCCGAGTTTGTTAGAGCAGATTATCGGTATCTCTACTAACAATTTGTTGGAGGTTAGTAACTGATATCCTATCTGAACAATCTGTAGATAAACGTTTATTACGTTATTGTTATCCATCCACAGTAGGTACTACAGATGGATTAAGTAGTTTGCATAATCATGTTTTTCTGCTAAACCAATTTTCATGACATTTGGGATGAAAAGACTGAGGAAATGTCTCTAGCCAAAGTCTTAATAGACTCCTTGTTGCCGTCTACAAGAGTTCCACAGCTCTGTCCAAAGAAATGTTGAATACAGAAGTTACCGAGCTGGTAGTAATTACAAATCAACGCGACTGGGGCAGTTTTTTCTATGCATGATAAGGCAGGTGACCGCAATTGCACACATATCTGCCCTGTAAGTGCCTATTCACTCTCGCCATGAAAAGGCCCGGATTATAGTGTTGAGGAAAGACAGCAGCAGGCAGTGAATTCCTGTCCCTAGCTGTAGACTTTGGCTAGAGTTTCTTTGCATCGATCACTGCTGATCACAGAACAGCATGTGCAGTTACGATGATCTATTTTCTACCCTCCATCTTCCCAGGTTTAGCATGGATCATCATCCCCGGCAAATGGTCCTTCGCCCTCGGCTCTCTCACCGTGGTACCATGGCGTGCCTTCATCTGGACCTGGTGTGCACCCGGTCTGCTGGCAGCGCTGCTTCTACTATTCCTGCCCGAGAGCCCTCGATTCCTGCTGTCTTCCAAAGGCCCTGAGGCGGCTCTGCCTGTCCTGGCTCAGATGTACGCGTGGAATAATGGAGCTTCACCGTATAGTTTTCCTGTAAGTAAATAGCTTCTTCTATCAACTTCGAACTCCTACGTTATTCTGATCAGTTTCGTTGCGGATTCAATGACACCTTAACTTGACCTTTGGGATAAACTTGACCTTCACTGGTTGGGTTTTTATTGGCGGTCAAGCTGTAGACCCTGGCTACACAGTAGTTGCAGTAGTCTCCCGTACTTTTATCGTCGAGTTGATACAAGTAGGGTCACAACTCCTGCTATCAGATATTAAGAGCTTCTATAATTGTTAAATCGGTTGGACGACTTCACATGCTCTATAGCGCACGTAGCCACATATGTATCAGGCATTCAGGTTAATAATCGAACTAAACCACAATGTGGTAAGCTCCCAAGGTCGACTCATGCAAAATTATATTGCGTATTGTGAAATAAACGTAGATAATTAAATTAACAATTTACATGATTCAGTTTAGTTAANAAAATTTGTAATAATTAATAAACGATCAAAATAATTATTTTCGTCTTTAATTTCAAGAAATCCACATTGAAAAACAATAGGGAAAAGGTTTTTACATTGCATAAGATAAATATATTTTACTAATAACGTGCTATTCACACAAAAAGGGGCTATAAACACAAATTTCGCAAATCAGTCCGAGTAGAGTCAATGTACTAATTTAAGGAATTTGTGAAGTTGTTGTCGCTATCTCTTTTATTTATTTTTTTATAGCCATGTAAACTTAAATGTTCGGTCCATTTGTAACTTTTCGGAAAACTTCAAAGCTGAATTAAAAAAAACTAGATGATATTTGCCAGTAAAATTAGATTTGATGCAACCCTACATCAATGCACGCCAAAACAAAATAATTACTTTGAAGCTACGCCTAGTAGTTTTTTTTTAAATCGAAATTAAATGATGCGATTTGGGTATTTTGGTGAAATTACTAAAAAAAATAATATAAAAGTAGCCGCCTGGCATGGAACGTGTTATGGGGGCTGAAAATATAGGAAATGACCCATTATATCTGCCAAATCATTTTGACACACGATGCACCAAACACCCTGTATATCAACTATCTTTTGTAGGTACAACTATAAAACCTACAAAAGATAGTTGATGTTTGAAATTAAGTAAAATTGAAAGTGAGTAAAAAACTAAAAAAAAAAACTCAAATACTCATTTATTTTTGCAAATAGGCTTTTAAAAAGCACTTTTACACGTCCCAATATTAACACTACCACTGCTTCGGGACAATAAATGGGCCAGTGCTGAGAAGAAAAAGCGCAAGAAACTCAGTCACTATTGGTAATCAGTAAATGGTGAACTCCATTTGTCAGATCTGTAAAAATTTTATGGAAGTTCATAATAGATACTGGACCAATCCTAGGCTTGATTCCAGGTTAAAAAGATAGTGTCAGGCAGCGTGGAGGCTGGCAAGGCTGGAGGCTTCGTGGGCGCTCTGAAGAACTTCTCCTTGCTGTTCAGGCCCCCGCTGCTGAGATGCGTCGTCATCTCCCACGTCTCTATGTTCGCAGTGTTTATGTTGTAAGTTATTGTTTACTACCCTTAATTTTACGGTAAATGATAAGCAAACGTTTAGTTCTATTTAGTTTGGCTCGACACGTTTAGTTCTAGCAGTTTTAGCTAGATCACCTCCAGGTGTGTCAGATGATTTGTATCGTAGAAGTGTTTTAGTAAATACTGACTCAGCTAGCAATCTAGGCTCTTTGGGGCTGCTAAAATATGGCACAAGTTTAAAATACAATGGCAATTTTGGTATTTTAAACTTGTGCCTGCTACCTCATTTTAGTTACAAAATGCAAGTTTCAATCTTACAATAAAACCTTTAGCTTACGAGTTGTATGGTTTTGCAGGTCCAGTGGACTGTACATGTGGGTGCCCGATATTTTGAATAATATCTTGAAGAGCACCAGCGAAGAGAGCATTACGATATGTACCGTCATTCAAGAGAAGATTATGAAGCAGAGAAACATGACTGTGAGTAGAACATAATTCGACTTTACCATATTGGCATGATGATGATGATGATCAAGATGCAGTTCTACTATCAGTTTCTAACTTTAAATTACATTTTACTTTTACTTTAATTCTTTATAAGGGAGAAGGAATACTTATTTATTATTCCTCCTCTTTTTTATCTGTATTTATTCCTGGTTTCGGAATGAAATGCTTGAATTTGCCAAGCCTGTACATAAAAGACCTGAAAATGACCTGACCTGAAATCCGCAATGAATTCGGTTTTGATGTGTCAAAAACCCAAATGATTGTATTTGACACGTCATGCACCTATAAGTATGTTTGTTTCAGTTATATTCTACCGTGCAAACGTGCAGTTCTGACGTTTCCGTGGGGGTGTTCCCAATCTCCATGGCCATGGGCGCCGTGTTCGCGCTCACGTACTTGGCGATAGGCGTATTCATCAACAAGATCGGGAAGAAGACCTTGTACTGTAAGTCGAATCTTCTTCATTGTTCATGGTATCAATTCTTCTTCATCAAAAGTTGATGTGCGAAAAGTGGCCCTGGCCTTTTTTGTTCTCCTCACCAGGTATGTCTGTATACCTGCACATGTAGGTATCAGCATGAACAGTCCAACTAAAAATATCATGAGTACCCTACAAAAGATTTAAGTGATCATCACTTACCATCAGGTGAGATACAGGCCAAGAGCTTCCTCGTTGTGGATAAAAAATAAAAATAAAGTTAATTCTTGGACACTTTTCTTTCTCAGAAATTCATAGGAAATACATCATCATATTACTACCAACTAGTATTATCTTCTGTAACGATGGCTCCAATAAACAATCAGGCTTTTAAAAGGCAGTTTTAAAACCCCCTGTCTTGGGGCAGTAGTTTGGGCCAGTGCTCTCAGTACTGAGAAGAAGCACAGCATCTAAAGCTAAGCATCCTCCACATCCTTGCTGTCCTTGCAGGTGGAATAATGGTGGTCTGCGGCATCATGACGGTGGCGGCCGCGTTCGTGCCTCAAGGAGGCGCGGCTACTGCGCTGCTCATCATTGCACTCTGCTCCGGCTGTTCTGCCTCAATCCTGGCTGCTATTGCTGTCGACGTCTTCCCTACCAGCATGAGGTACAGTTTCCCAGCAGCATGAGGTACAGTTTTCCACTAGCATGAGGTACAATTTTCTACCAGCATAAGGTTCAGCTTCCTTATTAGCAAGAAATACAGCTTCCCTACCAGCAAGAGGTAACAGTCTCCCTTTAGCATGAGGTGCACCGCTCTCGTGCCTCAAGGTGGTGCTGCCACCGCGCTGCTCATCATCACGCTCTGCTCCGGCTATTCTGCCTCCATCCTGACTACTATCGCGGTCGACGTCTTTCCACCAACATAAGGTACAATTTCCAACCAGCACGAGGTACAGTTTTTCACCAGCATGAGGTACAGTTTCCCTATTAGCATGAGGTAGAGTTTACAGTCTCTCTAACATAAGGTGTTCTGCGCTGCTTATCATTGCACTCTGCTCCGGCTGTTCTGCCTCCATCCTGGCTGCTATTGCTGTCGACGTCTTCCCTACCAGCATGAGGTAGGTAAACAATATTGGGGTTTATTCTCGAGTAGATTTTTGGATATGGTGAACATTTGACCAGGTAGGTAGGACCTGTTTCAAATTCAAATTGTTTTTATTGTGAAATCACAGGTAAATTTTGTTTCTTTTGATTAATTTTGTGGCGGGTTCAACGATGACAGTTCAACTTTCCCTCGGAATAAACTTGACCTACACTGGTTGAGTTTTCCGTAGCCGTAGATCCTGACGAGACTTGAAACTTCCTTTAGTAATGAGGGGAACAGAACTAAACTATGTTTTCCTAATAAGGAAAATTACAAGACACAAACTACTCTTATCACATCACAGGCGTGTGCTACTGGTCACCTAAAATAACGCAGCGCATCTTTCTCTTGTTCGCTTGGATGGAATGTATAAATGACTTGCAGGCAATAGACCGTAACAAAGTGAGCGATTTTTTAATACCTCATAGTTTGCAGTAGATCACTATAAAGTCTTTATTTTCATAAAGGTTTTAAACCTTTGTTTGTCACCTGTCATCCGCTTTGCAATGGAGGGAAGTCGAACCTTAATTTCGAACTCCTCCTATGTTCTTCTGATTAATTTCGTTGTCCCGGGGGAAAGTTAAACTGTCATTGGACCCCAATGACAGTTTAACTTTCCCCCGGGACAAACTTGACCTTCATTGGTTGGGTTTTTGTGGCGGTCAAGCTGTAGATCCTGGCTACACAGGAGTTGCAGTGGTGGGAACGAGAGGTGGGAATAGTCCCGTTATAAAGTCTTTATATCCATGTTCTTTCAGAGCCATGGCGATGTGCGTGATGTACATGGTGGGCAGAACGGGCGCTGCTTTCGGCTCCTACATCCTGGGGGCGACGCTCACCACACACTGTCTCGCTGCCTTCAGCGTCTTCGGTGCTTTCTCAGCTGGTGAGTACACTTATATGCGAAAATTCATTTGAGTGGCGTTTGAGTGCAACTTAATTTGAGAGGTGCTTAAAAATTGAGAACTGCTCAGATATTGTTTTGAGTGTGCGAAATGTAAGTTTAGGAGCTGCTTAACTATTTGAGAAGCCGTCAAATATTTAAGTGGCGTTTCAGTATTCGGCCGTTAGGCTGTTATACGTCGTTTTAGACAGAAGCTTGAGCAGGAATTTATCATTCGAAAATAATTTCGAGTCTGAGATTGATCTTTAAATTGAACTAATCAAGAGCTTATTTTAATTCTAAATACTTATTATTTACTCCATTATCCCGTGAAACCCTAAGCGGTCGCATAAGACCGCAGTAGCAATATTGATTTTAATTACATACATCTCGATTCGTTAGTACTTTGAAGGGCTACTAACAAATTGTACCTTTTTAGATTTTTAGATAACTTCTATATGTAAGATTTTCATGTAATTACTTTGTATGTAATGTTGTTGGTATACCGTAATAAATAAATAAAATAAAATAAAATAGATGAAGTTCGTATGAAACTCAAATGAACATTTTTTGACTGTAATATTTTTCTGAGGTGTAACTAAGTTTTAAGCGACTCTATCATACATTTTGTCATTTAAACACATAGGTACGAGTATTCGCAGTAAAGCTAGTGTCGTTTCAGTTTTCGTTTTCATGTTTATATTGTAGGTAATGGTATAAAATATTCTGTCGTTTAAAACATTTTCTTGTATTTGTTTCAGGTTCCACTCTACTTATGGTGTTTTGGCCGAAACTAGAGGAGGTTCGGGAAAAAATGGAACAGAGAGGCTTATCGTACTGAACAAACCAAATACTTCAACATTAATAGGTTGTCTTTTAAAGTTCTGAGATTTAGAACCAAACAACACAGGGTGTTGTGCATTTAGATTTTGAATCTTAGGAATATTTTGTCACAATATAACTAAGCAAAGGTTTTCAATCTTTATAATGTGTATGTGGTAAACTAAACGTATGAAAAAAAAGCATGATAGCGTGTCTTTGTGTCTATCTAAGTTTTAAAGTGTTAGTCTTTACAACCCGATTGAGCTAACTGCGCCCCTCGGAATGCGGCTCTCCCTCCCACTTACGGCCGGTTCACACATGTCTCCGTTTTACAGTATGTCACAGTATTCTGTATACAGTGTCATGTGTGAAGTCGCTCATACAACTACATACACCATCGACGGAAAAAAACGTACACTATACAACGGAACAGTAAAACGGAGACATGTGTGCACCGGCCGTTACCCGCACACACACGGGGCATTCGTCCTCTCCGTACCAGCCGGGCTTGGATGAGCGCCGTGATATACTTTATCGACGTCGAAATGTATGGACAAAGTCGATAAAATGGCGTGATAACTGCTTATCGCGGCGTGCATGCTCGGCCTATAGAGCGTCGATGTGACGTCACAGCTGCCAGGTGCGCAGATCTCGCGGGTTGTAGTATATACCTAAGGAATAATTATTTTTCAGGATATCATCAGCAAGTTGTTCAAATTTTTAGCCCTTAAGGTATTGGCTTCTAGTTTTACTGTCTCTAAAAAAATCTGGCACCAATTTTTTTACTTTTATAATGTGATAAACAACGAATGTTTGAACTCAAATATAAGTATGTAATCTATAAGTATTTGTAATAAATATCAGTTAAAGTTTACAATAAATAAACTCTATTTATGTGAGTACTATTCTCGTTTATTTAGTTTTTTATGATACCAAGACCGATTGTATCCGAGACTGATCGATTTATTAGTATGATTAATGTTATTTATTATTATACAGGGTGTCCCAAAAACAATGGATAACCCTATAACCATCGATAGGCCTCGCCATGGTCTCCCTAACGTCCAATTTTGACCCCAGTAAAAATATCACCGTTTTCATGATTTTTAAGTTTTTGTGCATTTTTAGAAAATTGCCACCTGCGATTACTTTTTCTCATGCCATTTCTACAAATGAGGATACTTTTCAATCTAGTTTTTTTCCTTATCACAAGGGATAGTTGGGCTATCAAAAGAAAAGATTAAAGTTCAACAAACTAGTTTAAAAGTATGAAAATTTTAAGAAATTGCAGAGAAGAAGGAAAAATTAATTCATTGTCTTGCACTTTTGATCAGCCGAGGCGGCTCTGCCTGTCCTGGCTCAGATGTACGCGTGGAATAATGGAGCTTCACCGTATAGTTTTCCTGTAAGTAAATAGCTTCTTCTATCAACTTCGAACTCCTACGTTATTCTGATCAGTTTCGTTGCGGATTCAATGACACCTTAACTTGACCTTTGGGATAAACTTGACCTTCACTGGTTGGGTTTTTATTGGCGGTCAAGCTGTAGATCCTGGCTACACAGGAGTTGCAGTAGTCTCCCGTACTTTTATCGTCGAGTTGATACAAGTAGGGTCACAACTCCTGCTATCAGATATTAAGAGCTTCTATAATTGTTAAATCGGTTGGACGACTTCACATGCTCTATAGCGCACGTAGCCACATATGTATCAGGCATTCAGGTTAATAATCGAACTAAACCACAATGTGGTAAGCTCCCAAGGTCGACTCATGCAAAATTATATTGCGTATTGTGAAATAAACGTAGATAATTAAATTAACAATTTACATGATTCAGTTTAGTTAAGAGTTTATTCACTTGCCTTGATTTACCGGGAAAATGCCAACAATTTTTAGCTTCACTCTATTGGAAATCTTTTAAACATATTATACAGGGTGTTTGGCGCATCGTGTGCCAAAATAATTTGGCGGATAGAATGGTTCATTTCGTATATTTTCAGCCCCCATAACACGTTCCATGCCAGGCGACTACTTTTAAATTAATTGTTTTAGTAATTTCACCAAAATACCCAAATCGCATAATTTAATTTCGATTTAAAAAAAAAACTACTAGGTGTAGCTTCAAAGTAAATATTTTGTTTTGACGTGCATTGATGTAGGGTTGCATCAAATCTAAATTTACTGGCAAATATCATCTAGGTTTTTTTTAATTCAACTTTGAAGATTTCCGAAAATATAAAAATGGACTGAACATTTAAGTTTACATGGCTATAAAAAAATAAATATAAAAGAGATAGCGATCTTCGGATTTTATCAAAACTTCTCTAGTCTATCCCCATTCAAATGGTATACTAATCTTGTTTAAATAATAACAACAACTTCACAAATTCCTTAAATTAGTGCATTGACTCTACTCGGACTAATTTGCGAAATTTGTGGTTATAGGCCCTTTTTGTGTGAATAGCACGTTAAACACCTAACAGGTAAACATTATTAATCTTATGCAATGTAAAAACCTTTTCCCTATCGTTTTTCAATGTGGATTTCTTGAATTTGAGGACGAAAATAATTATTTTGATCGTTTATTAATTATTACAAATTTTGTTTAAAATGTTCGCCTCGGCAACGTATACACTCACGACATCTTCTTCTAATTTCGATNATGGTTACAGGGTTATCCATTGTTTTTGGGACACCCTGTATTGTTACCGATGAATTTAATGAGATCCATTTTATGTACTTTTTATAAGTATTCTTTGGAATGTATCGTGGATCTGCCTTATTATAAGTTATTGTGAAAATAAACGGGTAGTTTATATTAATTAAGTGGTTTTATTTTTATTTAAGTTGTAATACTTAATCTCAACTAGAGTTTATTGCATATTTATTGCACAGTAAAGTACTTAATCCTTAAACTGGCATAAGAATCAAATATTTTTAATAATTGGATCTCAACAGTATCTTTTCAGCATAAAGTTCAAATTGATTTGGGTAGCATAATATGACCGCAACTTGCTTATAGAATAGAAGTGAACAACACACCTGTACAAAACATTAAAAATATAAGTAGCGCCATCTATTAAATACAAATAAAGGTCTTCTTTTGAATACAAAATGTTAATACAAACACCGTGCCATCTACATGTAGAACTCGTAGTCACAAACTCTACCCTCTGCTGTTACTAGCGCATAGCGAGAAACATTTTTACAAAGTTAAGTGTAGATGACGTTATGTGTACGTCTTGATTCAATTGAAAGTAAAAAATAATTTAATTACGAGTACATACTTAATGATAAAAATCATTATAAAAGTTTTAAAAAAATCGTGTTCTGTTCATTAAAAATTCCACTACAGTTATGTAAAGCAAGCTTAATTAAAAAATTCAAAAAGTTTTTTATTAAAAAAATATGGATTAATCATTTTTTAGTTCGTAAATAAAAATCACTAGCGTTTTTTAAAACATGATGCAGTTAAGTTGGCTCCTTACTTGTTCTGTTACTAACAAATATGTATAATATTTTTATTTTGCTTTTATGGCTGGCACATTTAGCACCTCCTTTTTGGAAAAAAAAGTAACGTTCCCTTGTGTTAATGACCTGAGGTGTCTGATTTATCTAGTTCTTTCATATAATTATCGTATACTAACCCGTTGACCGATCGTTAAAAAATATCAAAAAAGTGTCATTAGATCTATCCACCGAAGGGTTAAAAGTGACAAATGAGCTCGTCATTATTTAGCGATCAAGATAATGCCAATCCGATCCAGGTGACGATGGAGGCGGTTATTGACACTTTTTTTGGGCTTGTTAAGGCTGAGACAAAAGAGGTGTTGACTTTGACGTGCCGGTAACCTGTTTGTAACCCTTTTGCATTTAAGGGTTAAGCATCGATTTGTTTCGGACAGCCTCACAGGTTTAAAGAAGGCTGCGGTCGCGGGTTCCTTACAAGATGTACACGTTCGGATTTTACAAAACTCCACCCCTAAGGGAGCAAAACGGGGATTGGAAGTTTACTTTGTATAAAAGTTAAATTTCATGCGGGCGAAGACGTGGGCAAAAGTTAGTTTCATAAAATATAGGTACAAGCCACAGTGTTTAGCCAATTTAGCGAGTAAGGAAGGATATTGACACTCGAAATCATTACTTCAAAGGATCTAAGACAATTTTATATAAAATTAAAACCATAACACATTAAAATTCATTGTATCCAAATGAAGTATTTCTGTGAGTCAAGTACAGTCACAGGCAAAAAGTTGTTGTAGCTTACACGAAAAAAGTTGGTCAGTCATCAAACCCGAGTCTCTTGAAAATGCTGTGATAAACATTTATGGGGAAATAATAGCGGCTAGATCACCGCCAAAAAACTGCCTCATGGTAAAAAACAGCAGGTACGGGTATTAGAGGACTGTATTAAGTTTCGGAGCTTTGGGAAAGCTTCCCTACATTTTTGGTTAATAGAGCTGCCTCAGGGATATTTATTTATTTTATTTTATTTATTAGGACAACCAACAAGACAAACACGCATACATGAAATTACTATGACTAAAAGTGCTTAAAACTAAGTGCTGTCTTAATTAAAGGCTGCCACGGCATGCAATGTGGACAGTTGCAAATATAAAAACTAAGAGATAGGTAGTGAAAATTTGAAATGTAATGAACATTATGAATAAATTTCTTATACATTATTTACGTATTTGCTGTGGCTGTAAGGGACCTCAGCACAAATTTCGTAGTGTAATAGTGCGATAATAAACCAAGCTAAAAAGCTGTGAAAATAACTTAGGTGACCTATAAGTAGTCGTGGATTTTGTAGTGATATTGTATGTATAATAATTTTATTTCAAAGATGTACGTACTTTGGTCACAGTTTATAGTTGTAACTTTGCACAAATAGCCGAATGGTGTCAGTGCTGGACTGCACATTTTTGATCGATAGGTATATTATTTTTATATATGTAGTTTAAACACCATCATAGTTAATAGGACTGATGCCGTGATGAAGCCACTCCTAATAAAAGCATATTTTAACTTAGCTAGAAGATCTAGGAAGGACTATTAAAAAAAAGTAGAG